AGAAACACCCTTTAATTTCTACAGGATGTTTTCATACATTCAACATTCTATAAGCTTTCCATATTTACTGAAAAATACTTCATAATACCACTGATCTCTTCCCCCCACTCCACTTTTATTTGTATTTTAAGAGCTTTCTTGTTTATTTAAAACATGCTGCCCTTTATCATGTTAGATTTCAGGGCGTTTCCACATGCAGCCTCAACATCTCTCTGGTTATTCTCAGCTCCTGTGAGTCATTCTGCTTTCACTCCAATGCCCTCCTAAATTGTCACAGATCCCTGACCTCAATAGAACAGCAAAGGAGAAGCATTAAGGCTTAAAGAGAAAACCATCAGTAAGAATCAATGTAAAAATGAGGGTACATTACATCAATGTTGCGGATGATGACACATTTTCCATTCGTATACAGAAAGTTATTGCCCTTTGGATCTCCCCCAATGATCTTGGAGACGCCTCTCTCAACCTGCGGGAGACTGGCAAACACTTTTTCTACAAATGGGGGGGGGGGAGAAAAAAAGACACACCTATTAACAACGGGAGGCCAGCAAGAAACAAGAGCGCAAACAACTCCAGATATACATTTGCTATTTGACCTGTTGCTGAATGCTAAGTGGGGAAATTGTACTGGGGGGGGGGAGGAGATGGGGGGGGGAGAGACTCCCCGACCAGAGAAAAGACCCCCCCGCCTCCTAACTTGGTCAACTGCAAAGGGAATGTTGCAAGGAGAAAAATGCCCTGGGCACCGGTCGCTGCTTGCGAAGGCGCTTTGCCTGCGAGGGGCTGGATGGCGCTCCTCCTGCGGGGTAAATGCCCCCCTCCTCTCCCTCGACCCCCCCCTCCCGCCCGGGGAGGCTGCAGCAACGTGGCCCCGACTGACAGGAGAAAGGGCGAGCCCAGGCACCGCGCGGGCAAATGGGCGCCGCTCCTCGCCCTCCTCCTCCTCGCAAGGAGGAAGCAGCAGCCGCAGCAGCGCCGCTTGCAGGCATTGCACACAGGCGGCGGGGGGGGGGGGGTCTCTCTGCCTACTCACTCAGCTCATGTGGCATCTTCGCCTCCCCCGGCTCGCTGCTGCTGCTGCTGCTGCCTCGGATCCGAGAAGGGCCAAGGTGTGGGGGGGGCGGGCAAGGGGGGGCGCACAATCCGCTTCGCAGCGCTGCAAATTCCCTCCCGCAGCAGCAGCAGCGGCGGCGGCGACGTCCCCTCCCAGCTGCACGAACCAGGAAGCGCCCGCCCGCCCGCCCGCCCGCGCAGCTTTTCGCCCTCTCCCCCTGGCTTTGACCATATATAGTCAACTCTGCTCGAGCCGCGGCGCCGCGCGCGGGGAGGAGCGGCTTCCAGCTGACGGCGACGCTGCTGCTAGAGCCCGCCCGACCCGGAAATGCCGCCAAGCGAGAGGCGCCCCAGCCCGCCAAGCCCCGCCCCCTCCGGAGCCAGAACTGCGCGGCGGGCTGGCGTCACCGCGTGCGTGGCGTGCGTGGCCTGATCGGGCGACGGGCCCACAGAGATACGAAGCGGGGAAAAGAGCAAGAGGGGTGCATGGGCCGGATTGTTTTTCTTTCTGTGGATTTCTCTCTCTTTCTCCCCTGGGAAGCTGGTCGGGTGGCAGTTTTGGTCCTCTCGCTTTCTCTTCCAAGGAATGCACGCGAGGCAGGGATTATGGAAGAAAGCAAACAAATCAAAAACCAACCTTGAAAAGCATGCAAGTCATCAGCACAAGGAAGGCCTCCGTTGCAACTGAGAGCACTGTGAGAGAGGGGGCAATTTGCTGCAACTCTGTTTTGCATGAATTTCTGGGCTCAGAATGTTGCACCACCCTCAGACCCCCCCCACTGGTGGCATTAAAAGCGGAGTGCACTGGGCTGGGGCAGCGTCCAGTCATTGTGATCAACAGCACTGTGGATTCTGCAGCAGTTTTGAATCAAGAGCTGCATAACCTTAGTGCAGTGTCCACAGAGCTGCTGAACCCAAACCATACTCGTCTTTAAAAGGCACTGTTTGTTTTCTGTGTGAGCAATTGTTTCAACCACCACAACATCGAAAAATGTGTGTTTTGGTTCAAGAATGGGGTTCTTCTGGGGTTTCCTCTAGGGAAAATCTGTTTTTCTGTCTCACATGCTGCTCAGGGAATGTTACCTCACTGGGATTATCAAATGTTGCAGCAATCAAGTCATATAGTTATGGATACTTTTCAGAAATGCCAGTGCAGCATCTAGCTGTATATCCATATTTTACATTACCTTTCTTATTTTACCTTCCTTTTGACAGAATGTCATACCAAATAACTGTAGAAATCTGAACAATTGATGCTCAGTCAAAAGGTCACAAGAGAGGTTAAATGGCAGAAGTATGGTAAATAGTACTATATTCTGAAGGATTTATTCTCTCATATCAGATCCCTGCTGCTCTGAAGATGTGGCAGCTGGATGGGTGCAATTGGCCCACCTACTACCATAGAAAATGCAGGATGGAGGCCTGCAGAAAGGACCGAGGTAGCTTGGAAGATGTGTGGCTACCTAGAAATGGGGAGAGTAGCTGGAGTGATATAAATCCTCTCTGTCTTGTCTAAAGAGCATAGCAGGGAGGTAAGGAAGCAGGGATTGCAAAAGCAGCAGAAACACCCTCAGATGAGGAGATGCCAACAGGAGAAGAAAGTCAAAGAAGCTGTAGCAGCAACTCAGCCAGGTGCCAGGAAGATATGGCTTGGTAAGTCCAAATGCACAGAGAACAAACAATCAGACAAACCATTTCCCAGAATATAGAATAAATATAGATATATAGGTTGAGCATAGTTGGAAGCACTCCAACAGCCAAATCCAATGCACCACGTGAGACCTCCAGAGATGTTCTGTCTTCTCTTAGGGCTTATCCATACCATACCATACCATAAATGTACAATTGAAGCTGCTTGCATTTCCAGTTAAGTAGTGTCACCAGGGCTGGTCCAATACATTTTGGCACCTAAGGCAAACCACAAAATGGCACCCCCTCCCCCCACCAAGGAAGAAGGAGAGAGTGAAGATTTACATCAGGAACAAGGGAGGGAATCAGGTCAGCCTTGCCCGATAGTTGAACCAGGAATCAAAGGCCATCATGGAGGAAGAGGAGTCACCTGCTCTGAATCATGGCTACAAGACCCCAGAGGGCAGCCTCTGTCATTTCCTCCCTGTGGGTGGGAAGAGACCAGGAGACCCTCCTATTGACTGAGAGGTTGTAGAGGTGGCACATGGAGGTGGGTGGGGAGCTGTCAAGGCAGCAGCAGATCCAGCCTCCAAGGAGTGAGTGGCAACAGCAGCAGCAGTGGTGGCAGATGCATTCTTTGGAGGCCGGATCTGCTGCTGCTGTGGATCCTGCCACTTGAAGCAGTCACCTCACAATTGGCATTATAAGAGAACAAGGGAGACGTTCATGGTGAGTCCCAGTACCTCTTTATCTAGAAAAAATAGTGCTGCATCCCATTCAAACAGCTCCTACCCTGCTGATTTACCCCTGCAAAAATGTATTTCCTTGATAATATAAGTTTGGAGAAATGCAACTCCAAATTGCTCCACTCAAGACAGCAGGTACATTGCCTTGGCTCCCCACCCCCCTTGGAGGTAGATGAAGCATCCATTTCCACTACTCACCTTTCCATGCCCCCTACATCCTTCAAACACCAGTTCTGTTTCAGCAGTAGATGAGCTCTGCAGCTGTGTTTTGTGCAATACAGGAAAACTGAAAAATAATTATTTATCCAGATGCCCCTGCTTGATTTCTTATATTGATTTCACTGTACTGATTTCTCCCACAATAATCTACATGCCTCTAGTCTGTCTGTGGCACTTCTTTTCTAGCAAGCACAGTAGCTGGATCTGCCCCATTGGATTTTAATCCCGGGTCCTAGTCCACCTCTTTGTCCAATTTTGAAAAACTGTTTGTACATGTTTCATCTGTTGTATAATGATGACTAGTGATTACTTTATTTTCCAAATAAACACACAAAATGCAATTTATAACCGATGGGTAATAAAGTCCGCCAACAGGTCCTAAAAAGTTAAAGAAGGGAGATTTCCAGAGGGGCACTGAGTATTTTTTTTCCTGAAAAGGGGGTGTTAGGCCTAATAAGTTTGCACTGGCGGAGAAATGGCCCCTCCCCTCCCTGCTCTCCGCCCTGGTAGTGGAGCATGCAGCTTCGCCACTGTAAGTTTGGGAACCTCTGCTGTCAATCATGACATGACCAAGAAGGTTAGCATTAGATCCACATTATGAGATCCTATCTCAGAAACATATCCTGGAAGGCACTGAGGAGACATCCTGTGCTCCCAATACCTTGTATAAAGACCAGCATATGTAAGCCTAGCTACAGTACTACTAAAATCTAACCCACCTGTCATCATCCCCTGTCTGGCTCTGCAGATTCGGAATGAAATGTCTCAACAGTTGCTTTAAATTACTTTCTTTTGACCCCAAGTGCTCAAAAAAAAAAAAGTCAAACTTTCTCCAATTTCTACTTTTAGATAGGTATTTTTATTTATTTACTTGATGGGGGGGCAGCTACCTCCTCTCTGCCCCGCACTGGCTCCGCACATGGGTAGGAGAGTGGAGCCCTGGAGACACTCTCCCAAAGGAAGCCCCACCCTGTTGTTGCTCCCAAGCAGTGCTTTTTTCTGGGGGGGACGCAGGGGGACGCATACCCCTAAACATTTGGTGAATCTAAGTTTGGCCTCATTGAGGGGAAGTATTTCAAGATGAGTAGGAAAATGAGAGTACCCCAAAACATTTTTTTAAAGAAAAAAAGCGCTGCTCCTAAGTAAGTGGGGAAAAGGCTCCAGGCAGCGCAGCCGATCTCAGCAACGCATAATAATCCTGATAGCGCCCAGGCTCCCGGCAAGGGGCAGCTGCAGATTCCTGCTTTGCCCCCAGGGGGTTGGACTAGACGACCCTCGGGCTCCCTTCCAACGCTCTGAGTCGATGAATGGTAGGAGATTCCCGGCGCGCCCCCGCGCCTCGCCAGCCAGCGCTACGCGGGGAGCGAGCAGCTGGAGGCGGGGAGCTGAGGTCAGTTCCTCCGCCGCGCCGCCCGAAGGGACGGAGGCGCCTCTTGGCCGGGCGCTTTGGCCGAGAGCCTCCCTCCAGCATCGCCGGCCGAGCCGCTTCTCCAGCTGCAGCTCCGCCTCGCCAGGGCTGCCTAACCTCCCTCTTTCTCTTTCTCTTTCTTTCTCTCTTTCTCTCTCTCTCTCTCTCTCTCGGCCGGGTTCCTGTCCCCCCTCCCTCCCCGCCAGCCCCTTTCTCTCCTCGGAGCGCGCGCTCGGCTGCGCTGCCGGCCACCAAGCCGGGGAAGCGGGTGCTGGGAGCGCGCGTGCGGCGGCGCTGCCCTCTCCCGGCGAGGCGCGGAGCTGCGAGCGCCAAGCGCGTCCCTGCGCCATTTCGGAGGAGCGCAGCATCTCGTGTCCTTGGGAGGAAAGGGGCCGCGAGGCGGGCGAGAAGAGAGGAGGAGGAGGAGGAGGAGGAGGAGGAATCCCGCCGATCTTTTCTGGGAAGCAGCCGGTCCTCCTGCATCGGAGCTCAAGTCCCCAGAAGTCTGCGCTGGACTGGATCCGCGCCCGCGCCTTTCCACGGTCAGGTCCATGGGGAGGCACAGAGCTGGCGCCAGAGAGATCGACTCACAGATGCAGACTCTTTATTTGGATGTAAGTCCCGCCGTCCCCGATGAAATTAACTTCCAGGTGAACATGTATATTTACACAACTTCTTACATAAGGTACCTGGTTTTTTGCCTCTTCAAGATAATTTGTCAACAAGGATGGACTTTGGCAAAGTCGAACATTTCCCCCCCCCCCCGCGCTTAAATATTTCTTCTTTTCAGGATCTTTTCTTTTGGTACAGTTGATTTTTCTTTATTTTGTACCCCCTCAGCTTGGGAGGGGGGAGGAATTGTCTGCACCGCCCTAGATCTGATGCAGTGCACGCATCACATCCAGGGCAGATGATTATTTCATATCTTTGGAATGGGGGGGGGGAGGTGTTTACACCTATTATTTTCTTGGTGGCTTCATGGCAATATATCTAATTTGGCTTTACATTCAAAATGCTTCATTCTTTGGCTTCAGTATTGTGCTTCAATAATATGACAAAACTTTATTTTCTCTCACTATGACCAGATACAATTATCATTTGGTCCTTTCCTCAATTTTTGAAGCTGCAGTCTTACACACGTAAGACCAAATGAACTTGGAAGGATCTGTGTAAACATGCATAGGATGGGCTTCAAGAATACACTTGCACAATTTTATTTAATGTTCCTAATTTGAATATGTTACTGCTGAGTGTCAGTTCCCTTTCTGCACAGCACATTCACAGTAAAACTAAAACAGAATTTCAGCAGAAATTTTGCAGACCACTGAATTAGCTGAATTTGAAGACCTTGCCATGTTAACAAAAGACACTTCTGCTTGTGGGGTGGGTGTGTATCAAAGACCTCCCCATCCCAGTCTACACCCTCCTCTGTTTCACCTGCAAACTTGCTTCAGCGAGTTAGGGTGCCTTCCAGAATGCTTTTAGGGGAAGCAGGGCAGCCCATAGGGGGGAAATGGGCAACAACCCATCCATAGTTTGCTTGGCAGGACCTCTGGATCCAAGCCACAGCCCCCCCCCCCAATTTGTATCTTAAACCATGCCAAAGACTTGGAGAAGATTGCAGAAGATATATATGGGCATGTTCATGTATTAAGTGGAGATTCTTATTTCTGCCTGCATCTGTATACAATTTGAAATAGTGCTTATATATTTATTTATTGTTAATTGCTTCAGGGTGCTTCATGGGAAGCAATTCATTAAAAAATAAAAAATCCAAAAATCCAAACAGGGTTCCCAATCATAAGGAAGAGCCCTATGTTCATTCAACAGTTTTTAAAGACTGATCCAAGCACGCTTACTTGGAAGGATTTTCCATTGAAATCCAAGGGACTTATTTCCATGCAAAGTGCTTGCGAGTGAGTATTGTTGTTGAATTAAAATGTGAGGAGTTGGATATACTTATTTATAAACTCTTCTTCATATGCTTCCTTTGCAGCAGCTGTGGGATGAACATCACATGTGAGCGGCTATGACATCTGAAGCAGGTGAATCGGTGCAAGATCAGCTTTTGAAATGCAGCTGAAGAAAACAAGAAAAGTCTTACCAATATTAACTGCCAGCCAAGGGAACAAAGGGCCTAGGTCATTGACCACATTGCCAAAGCAAACAAATGTTGATAAAGCAAATACAATAAAGGCAAATGATGAAAACTGCAATTTTGCATATAAAGAAGCTGAGGAAAGTGAATTGTATCCAATAAGTTGTATTAAGTGTAGATGTGTGCAAGACATTTTGGCACTACAGTTGCATCAGCAGAAATGCCAAGATATTGAAGATGACTACCAAGTCTGTAGCAAGGGCCCGTTGACTGTGCTGTCCACTCTCAATTTTCAGATTGCACCTGCAGTTGCATTGGACACTGAAGCCCAAGAGAAAATGTCCCCCAATAAACCTCGAAGAGCCTTCAAAGTAAAAAACTTTCAGCCAGACAAATACTATTGTGACAAATGCCGATTTTCCACAAAGGATCTCTTACAACATAAGAAACATGTAGCTCAACATGAAAAGATCAAATGTTCCCAGTGCGATTGGGTGTCTTACACCAAAGGGGAATTCCAAAGGCATACAGTGAAACATACTGGGAGATTTCCATACCAGTGCAAATACTGTGACTATGGTGCAGTTAGGCATGATTATATTGTCAAACACACGAAAAGATTACACGTAGCTGAGAAGCAAGAAATGATTTCAGTTGCAAAAGTTGATCAAAAACGAAATTGTTCACCAGAGCATAATTTGGAGTGGAAGAAACATGGCCTGGAAACTTCTCAGCAGTGCACACCTTCAGGTTTATCTCAGATTTGTGGGATTAAAGATGAAATGCCTGAAAATGATTCATCATCAGTTTATGATGAATGTAGTCAAAGTACAGCCTTCATACAAGATAAAAATGTATATAAACTATCTGATGTCAGAATCCACAAAAATGAAGATGCATTGATGGAAGTTGAAGTTTATTCTCCAAAAAAAGGGCCTATAACACCTGGAATGCCATTAACAGTGGTTGCACCTGCCAAATTTTGTGTTCCACATAATTGTTTGGCACAAATAGTAGGAATTAAAAGAAATAATGGTACACAGCATTTGATTCTTAAACTCATTCCTCCGAAAGGAACTACCTCTGAAGCTATGAATTATAAAAAAGTAGAATCTGGAAATCAGTGTGCAGAACAAGAAGAAAAAACAATAAATAACTGTGTGCCCCCAACTCTTGAGTCCTGTGCTTTAGATAACAAGAATGACAAGAACTGTCTGCATTCTGCCAGTTCTACTACTTTGAACTGCAGCTTGATAAATACCCAGGAGGAAAATGCTATTTGCAAAGAAAACACACAGAGAGAATATGATCTTCTACCACCTTTAGCAGAGTTTTCTTCTGAAAAAACAAATTGCCCAGAACTCTTTCAAAAGAGAAAATGTTCAGAAAATAAACATATAACTTCCAGTTCAGATCCAGCCATATGCCTAGCAGCTCCCTCTTCCGAAGATGAGAACAAGTCCCAAAGTGATTTGTTAGCTACTGTCCAGAAAAACAATAGTTTACCGTCTTCCTCAGTATTCGGTAACATGCGCTTCACTTTAACTAATGCCAAAGAAGAACAATGGAATGAGTTTAGAGTAGCTGCAAAAACACATTTGTTTGATTCCCATTTGTTTCACCCTTTTGAAAGAGCTGCAGTGTCACAGCAGAATAAGCCTCTAGCTTCAGAGGAGTCTGAGAACGTCTTAGGTGTGATCAATGGAATTAATGTGAAAAGAAAGAAAGATGATATGGAAGTGGAAGCACACAATATAAAATATGAAGGTGATTCAGTAGATGGTCCGGTGATCTCATCTGTGTTTTCCCTCAGCTCTGGCGCTGTGAATATCCCGGAAGGAATTAAGTGGGATGATACATTACAGAAGAAAAGGTCCACATCGTCGTTGTGCAGAAAGATTGCTCAGCTGATGTCTGCTGTTGAATCAAATGTGAAATCTCAATTAGCTGCTTCATTAAGACACAGTCACAGCCAAGCCTCTAAGGAGAAAGTGTTATTGCCAGAAAAAAAGAGTGAAAAAACTAGCTCAGATATGATATCTGAACAAGAACTTGTGCCTTCTCCTCGGAGACCAAAGGGCGCCACTTTTTCTAATGAGTGTTCTAATAAGCAAGAACAACCCTTGGAAACACTTAAAGAGGCTAAAACCAAAACCAGGGTGATTACAAAAACAAACACTGTTTCTCCGGCTTTCATTCCTCAAGGAACTGTACTGAGAGTGCTAAACTGCAGTAGTTCTGAGGCCCCAACTGAAAAACAAAATGGTGATGAAATGTCACCTTCCCCTTCTCGATATTGCAACAAAATGTTTATCCCAAGGCCAGTTCCTTGCTGTGTTTCTGCCAGACTTGACAAAGGTCCAACTTTGCCAGCTGAGAATGAAGTTAATGAGGTTTCTAGAAATCTCTGTGTGTCACATAGTCACACTTGTCACTCTCTTAGTTCTGTGCCAGGTTATGGCCAACAAAATGGAATGTTGCCATGTCAAAAAGGCGGCAGCCCAAGTGGGCTGAGCAAAAGGGCCACGAAAGGTGAAGAGGAGCCCCAGAACAAAGCTAAGCGAGCACATCCTGCAAACACTTTGCCCCAGAAGAGACTCGCAGCTCAAGAGGAACGCTTCCTTAAAGTGGCGCCCACTCTCATGAGATGCCTTAGGCTTGCAGCATTCAAAAGTGATCAGCTAATAAAATGCCCTCATCGTAACCAGCCAGTAGTTGTCTTAAACCACCCTGATGTTGATTCACCAGAAATAATTAATATCATGAAGGTTATCAATAAGTACAAAGGCAATGTCCTGAAAGCAATTTTATCAGAAAGAACTATTAGCTGTCTCAGTGTGAAACGACATTATAAAAGACTTACTTTTCAGACTTTTGATAGATCATCTCAAGTGAAACAACAGAAAAAAGTAAGAATGACACGAAAGAAGGTGCACAAAAATAACTGCAAGGAGGTGGCTTCGTCAATAGCGGAAGCATCAAAACAAATGTTTAAATGCTGGTTTTGTAGTAGGGTGTATGCTGAGCAAGAAGAATGGATAAATCATGGGCAGAAACATTTACTGGAAGCCACAAAAGGGTGGGACATCCTTTCATTTTCATTAGAAAGTGAAAAGTGAGAAACACTGATTACAAACTCTAGTGTCTCCTATTTTGCAGAGCAGTCTTGGAACAATTTAGTACAATTCAGCCCAGTAGAATCACGTGTTGGTGCCCATGTACTGTAACTGTGTTTGTTCTAGGCCAGCATTTTAGTCATAGAAGAAAGAAAGATGGTTGCTCTAGTATTCTGCTAGTGTTGATGGTAGAAATGTGATCCGGTGTTAATGAAATGGGACCAGCATAAGTAATCCTGTGAGATTAGAAACTGAACTACAGTCAAGAAGCGTGAGCCAGGGAGGGAGGGCAGGAAAATGTTGGAGCAAATAGAAGGTTGACTATGTGCGGTACCATAAGGAAACTGATCTAGTAGAAAAGAACTGAAAACAGATGCTTTTAGTAAAATGTTGTAGTATTTCACCTCAGGTTGTTGGATGCTGAAAGTTTTTCAGCGTGCATTTAGTGCAGGGTCAGCCTTTTCAGAGTTGAGGGCCATTCATTCGCATGCACACAGTCTTCCCCATTCATTCATTCATTTTGGTCAGTCACTGTGAAAACAGAACGCTGGACAAGATGGGTCTTTGGTCTGCTCCAACAGAGCTCTTCTTTATAATTTTCTCACCCCTTTGGCATGCCAGGTGAAATTTAAAGGGACTGTTTTTCTGTGTCATCCCCTCCTGTTATCATTTTTCTTTGTCCCAATTTTATCTTGACATGCAGATCTTCAAGGTTCTTTGAGCATCAAGTTTGATGCTTGGCCAATGTGGAATGTGTGGCATGCTCTGTGGTTAGTGGCCATGAAGCAGGAAACTGAGAGAATAGGTTTTCAGGAATGGCTGGATCAGGTCTGAGGGCAGCTCTCTGTTGCTTTTGTTAAGTCTACAATTCTGTTACAGTGGTACTGTACCTTGATTCTCAAACTTAATCTGTTCTGGAAGTCTGTTCCAAAACCAAAAGGCATGCTTTACCATAGAAAGTAATGCAAAATGGATTAATCCGTTCCAGGTTGTTGAAAAACTACCCCTAAAATGCTTTTCCCTACCGCCCCAATCAGTGCAATATTTTGATCTCTCTCCTCTCTCTCATGTCAAAGCGGCTGGGCTTCAAAGCGATTCCGGGATGCTTTTCCTCGTTGGCCCAACCAGCATGATTTCTCTAGAAATGGAAATGCAACACTAAAAAAGGAAGCTCAGGACACATTCAACTTCCAGTAAAATAAAATAAAATAAGTTAGAATTGGACTCCTTGGCAGGTTTTGAATAAACACTCACAAATTTATTATTAATAACACATAGACAGATAAGTTAAGGATCTTTACAGTTTTACAATATGCAGAGAATTATAAGTATGGAAAAACCAGAGAGTGGAGCTGAAGGAAGTCCAGGGGGGGAGGGGGTTGGGGGGAGGAAAAAAAATAGGGGAATTTTTTTGGGGATAATATGTTTTATTGTTAAAATATTATGTTGTTATGTTCAATAAAATTCTTTAAAAAACCCCAAAAACTTCCCCCAAAAAATCGAGAACTGGAACGCTCACTTCTGGGTTTGCGACGTTCGGGTTCTGTTTGTGAACTAGGCTGTTTGAGAACCAAGGTACCACTGTATTCTTTTCTGACAGATTACTGCAAGTTTGGGACCACATTGGTGCTATTTGTGAAGCTAAGATGTTTAGTCCCAATGTGCACTACTTTACATTGGTCTACATTTGCCATGTTGTGGCCTATTTGCGTTGTTCGGAGACATTGTTTTGGAACAGTCGTCTGATCTTAGGGAATCAAGGTCTGCTTATTGGTAACCATTTGCTGGTATCCATTTTGTTCATTAGGAAGGACAGTGACCAGGCAGCATCTATGCAAAAGCTTCAGTCTGTTCAGGGAAATGTAAGTATATAATAATCTCTTTGCCATTATCAGTTCATGTTTCATTTATCTGTTTTCTTTTTTCATCATCTGTTTAAACAGCAAGGGAACAGTCTGCTCAGGAAAGTGCCTTGTGTGAAGAAGCACTGCAAGAAGACAGTGCTCTTGCACAGCTCTCATTCATTTCCATAGAACTTCAGCAGGAGAACTTCTTGCTCTTTTAGGTCTAGTTCGTAAAGCAGTGAGTTGTGCCAAGGCTGAATATAGGGGACTTTTCTGACAATTAAAGAGATTGGCAATCAAGACTTTGAAATAAAATCCCAATAGAAGAAGGCATTTTAAAAAAAAATTTCATTGTCACAAAAGAAAGTTCAGCATCAACTCTCTTATTAAGAATGATGGGCACATTTCAACAACCACTCTACTTTTACTTGGAAAAAGAAAGAAAGAAAGAAAGAAAGAAAGAAAGAAAGAAAGAAGAAGCTATTACATGTTTGGACTTCAATCACAACATGAAAAATGGAATACTTGTGGTGGTTGCTATTTTGACATCTTTTCTAATGTATTTAAGTTGGGGGATATTTTTGTGCTTCTGGACCCTAAATATTTTATCTTCTGAAACTTTCACAAAGCACATTTTATGACTGGTCTTTTAAAAATCAAACTCTTTGTAATACAGTGTTAAAACTGAACGTCTGGTTCAATCACAGTATCTGTTGTCCAATTCAGTAGAAGTTCTTTACCAGACTCTTCTCTTCCCCTCCCCTCTTTCAGTTATGGCTGAAATGGCTGTTCTTTGGGTCAGTTCTCATGTCTGCCTTTCACACCACTGCAAGTACTTGAAAAGTTGTAAGAATCTGATGTATTTCAGTGACTGAAAAGGATGACGAGAACTAAGGTTTTGCCTGCTTTGCTTGGTCAATTAGCAGCTAAGGCTGTAATAGTGCGATGGGTCGTGAATGTGGTTAAACCTGCCCTGCGCCCACCTCTCACCTCTTTCAGTGCCTGATTTCATGGCTGATGTTCTCTGGTTTCATAGCAACCTTGGGTATGCAGATTGGCAAAGCCCTTTTTGGCTGTCACTTGCTTATTTCCTCCTTTATTCCTTTAAAAAGTCTTGCCTGCCTTAGTCTGGGGCAGCAGAGCCTCAGTTTTGAAATCTGAATTTCAAGCTTCATGAACATCTTGCATGAAATTTAACTCATCTATGTTACTACCTCACAGGCTAGCAATTGCTTGTTTTTTTTTATTCCAGGTCCTATAACCTTTTAATTAGAACAAGATGAACAATACTTCATCTTTACATGTGTGATACTGGAACAACTAGGGCATTCATATTCCAGGGCTCTTGCCATTAGGAAAAATGTGGATGGCTTTTAAAAAGTGAAACTGTCAATTGTGTGAATATTGTCTTGTCTGATTTGGCCCTTTCTCTGACATCAGGAAGACATGTTCTTTGGAATGGGCTGGCCCAGCAAAAATGGAGGGTTTGAAATCTGTACAGCTTTATAAGCACATTAGATATGGCATAAATGTTGTAAAGGTAAAGGACCCCTGGACAGTTAAGTCCAGTCAAATTTGACTATGGGGTGCAGTACTTATCTCCATTTTCAGGCCGAGGGAGCCGGTGTTCGTCCACAGACAGCTTTCCAGGTCATGTGGCCAGCATGACTAAACAGCTTCTGGTGCAACAGGACACCATGGTGGAAACCAGAGTGAACGGAAATGCCGTTTACCTTCCCGCTGCAGTAGTACGTATTTATCTATTTTGTGCTGGTATGCTTTCAAATTGCTAGTTTGACAGAAGCTGGGACAGAGCAACAGGAGCTCACCCTGTCATGTGGATTTGAACTGCCCACCTTACGATCGGCAAGCCCAAGATGCTCAGTGGTTTAGACCATAACACCACCTGTGTCCCTAGGAAATATTGTAATGTTTTGTCTCCAGAGGATCCTGTAAACAGAACACTTCGTACAGTATAGCCATATGATTAGTTCCTCTAAATTGTATATTGTTCATAATATAGACACTGTTTTATTTTAAAAGGCTAACTTTTAGTAAATTGCTAATTGTATTGCAAGTTTCATGGTAATTCCTTTTCCAGTATACTCCAAATGCTGCTTTTTGAAGAGAACCAATGTTCCATTAAGTCTTGTTTATCCAGATGTGGTTGGGCAGGTGGCAGAAGGCACTGGAATGTTAGTTGCAGCATCTGCGGGATGCCATAAGCCTTAGAGATGGATGAACAACTCTCATGAGGAAGTGAACTTTCCAGGGTGAATATGTTTCTCCTAACAACTCTCAGCACCCTTAGCAAACTACAGTTTCCAGGGTTCTTTGTTAGAAACCATGACTGTTCAGTGATGCTGCTTTAGTGCAGACAGAACCACAGTTGCTGGAGAAGATGAGCAGGAATGTACTAACATGCTCATGTCCTGCTCGTGGCCACAATGGAAACAGAAATGTTTTCTGTCTGAATCAGCAAGGCTCTCCTTATGCTTTATTGTGGGGAAGGGCTCTCTGGACATGTAGAAAGCTAACATACTCAACCTAGTATGTTTGAAAGAAATCTATTTCTTGTTATCTCCATTCACTTGAAAAATGCGTTAGTATTTTGAATTTGGATGTGCAGTGAATGAGTGCAGTGTTGGTTCTGCAGATAACTGGCCAGGCCCACAGTATGCATTTGATTCTTACACCCTGGTCATAGGAGATTTTCTAAGCTGGAATTGAGTGCCCAGCAACCTTTGCAGATAAAGCTACACTGGCCCATTACAGCCAATGGCAGGGGTGGCTCATCCCATTTCACAGCCTGAAGCAAAATGGGAAGGTGCCCCGCTGCCACCATTCCATCCCTGCAGAAGCATCACTTACCCGGATCATGTGGCAGCCACTTCTTCCAGCAAGATTTCACTGCGGGATTCCGCCACTTCATGGGGTGGGGGGCTGGCCCCAGCAAATGTTACATTGCCACTTTAACTGAGCCTCTGCCTGGCTATGCCTTGCTTCTCATCCCGCTCAACAGTTAAAGGACTCCCATCCAATGAACTGGAGCCAGTTCTGTGTCAAGTTATTCACAGGGAGAGTGTCTGGGACTGGGCAAAGGAGGAATAGTATAGACCGTCTCCCCATCCTGACCTTTCCAGGGAGGAGGAAGAGGAAGACAGTATAGATTAATAGCAGGGGTTTGAGGGAGGTAGCAGCTCAGAGGCAGGTGAGGGAGAAAACTGGGAAATAATTGGAGAGCCAGAACAACACCTGGCTGACACAGTGTCTTTAGAAAGCATTCCAGACCCTTCCTCTCCCAGAACCTGGTGAGCCTTAAAAGTAGGAGAGCAAAGAACTGAAAGACAGAGGGCAGGTAGCAGCAACCGTAGAGGAGACGAATGAGGAAGTGGGAGAGATGGGTGTGTGTGTGGAGAGTCACTCAGGACAATGCCATTATCCAAGAGGCTGGGTTCTATAGCCTCTCTCTGTAAAGACTGAAATAAAACAGGACGGTAAGAAACTTTTATACTTATACTTTCCTGAGCAACCAACCAGGAGCTGCTGACAACATCCTGACGGAGAGGGGCTCTGCTAGAAATGCTTCTACTAGGCCTAGTCAGATTATGGCTGTGTTTCTCATGCCATGCTTTACACAGTGTAATCTGGAGCTCTGCTTGTGCAAAATAATAATAATAAAATTTATTTATATCCCGCCCTCCCCAGCCTTAGCCGGGCTCAGGGCGGCTAACAACAATAAACAGTACAAAAAGTTCCGCATAAACAACACTCTAAAATCATTCATCCTAAAATTAATTAATTCAAGCCACTGGCAGCCATTGGGCCAGAGCTCCGCGAAGATTGCCAAAGGAGGGAGTCAGGCTGTGCCCTTGCCAAAGGCCTGGTGGAACAGCTCTGTCTTGCAGGCCCTGCGGAAAGATGTCAAGTCCCGCAGGGCCCTGGTCTCTTGTGACAGAGTGTTCCACCAGATCGGAGCCACAGCCGAAAAAGCCCTGGCTCTCGTTGAGGCCAGCCTAACTTCTCTGTGGCCTGGGACCTTCAAAATGTTTTTATTTGAAGACCGTAAGTTTCTCTGTGGGGCATACCAGGAGAGGCGGTCCCGTAGGTACGAGGGTCCTGTGAGAGAATCAGAACCTACAGGGTTAAGAGGTTCTGTGTGTGACGTCTTGCATCATGAGGCGTGGTTCCGCACAGACGCTTATGGGAGTGGTTTTGCTCAGTAAGTTAGTCTGCCTCTGCTGTGCCAGAGAGAGGATGTCGGCTAAATCGCCAGGAGATTTACGATCTGTTATTCTACTTGATTAAAGGCTAAGAGATAAGGAAAGCCTTGTGTCTGCTTTGAGTTATTCCCAGATGCTGCATTTTGCTTCTAACTGCTGCGATTTCTCTGCTACCGGCTGAAGAGTCAGAAGGACTTTTGGAGCGGCATGGAGTGTTAGCGAGGTGCGCAATGGAAGTGTGCCGGACGCCATGATTGATTGGCCTATCTCGTCACTTTTGGCCTCTTGCAGCCCAATAGGTCCTAGGCCACATAGGGCTTTAAAGGTTAAAACCAGCACCTTAAACCTGATCCTGTACTCCACCGGGAGCCAGTGCAGCTGGTATAGCACCGGGTGAATGTGATCTCGCAGCGAAGACCTCGTAAGGAGTCTCGCTGCAGCATTCTGCACCCGCTGGAGTTTCTGGGTCAGTCTCAAGGGCAGCCCCACGTAGAGCGAGTTACAATAATCCAGTCTGGAGGTGACCGTCGCGTGGATCACAGTGGCTAGGTCAGGGCGAGAGAGGTAAGGAGCCAACTGCTTAGCTTGGCGGAGATGGAAAAATGCCGCCTTTGTTATAGCTGCAATCTGCGCCTCCATGGAAAGGGAGGTGTCGAAGATTACACCCAAACTCTTAACGGACGGTGCTGGCACTAATTGCGCCCCCGCAAGAGATGGGAGTTGCCCCCCAATCCCATATCGCCCCGTCCCAGCCACAGGACCTCTGTCTTCGAAGGATTTAGCTTCAACCGGCTCCCACATAACCATCCAGCCACAGCTTCCAAACATCTGGTCAGTGTGTCTGGGGCCGAGTCAGGATGGCCATCCATCAACAGATAGAGTTGGGTGTCATCAGCATACTGATGGCAACCCAGCCCAAAACTCCGAACAAGCTGGGCGAGGGGGCGCATAAAGATGTTGAAAAGCATCGGGGAGAGTATCGCACCCTGAGGTACTCCACATACCAAGGAGTGGCGCGATGACAATTCCCCCCCAAGCGCCATCCTCTGTCCCCGACCAGAGAGAAACGAGCGCAACCATTGAAGGACTGTGCCCTGGATCCCCACGTCGGCAAGGCGGTGGTCCAGAAGTTCATGATCAACCATGTCGAAAGCTGCTGACAGATCTAGAAGAATCAGCAGCCCCGACCCACCTCGATCCAGCTGTCTACGAAGATCATCTGTTAGGGCAACCAGAGCCGTCTCGGTCCCATGACCAGCGCAAAAGCCGGACTGGAATGGATCCAGAGCCGATGTTTCGTCCAGAAACCCACCAAGCTGTTCAGCAACCACTCTCTCAATCACCTTACCCAGGAACGGAAGATTCGAAACCGGGCAGTAATTGGATAGATCTAAAGGATCTAATGATGTTTTCTTTAAGAGCGGGCGCACCACTGCCTCCTTCAGTTCCCCTGGGAATGTCCCCATGCCAAGGGACAAATTGATGATATCCCCCAGGAGGGCCCGCACCTCGTCTGGACACGCTCTAATCAACCAAGACAGGCACGGGTCAAGAGGACAGGTGGTGGGCTTTCCAGCTCGGAGGAGTCTGTCCACATCGGCTGGGGATATCCGGTCGAAGTGGTCCAATACTGGACCCGAGGACAGTCGAGGGGCCTCCAGTTCCTTTGTTGTATCCAAATTGGCAGGGAGGTCATGGCGGAGCAACAAGACCTTCTCCGCAAAAAAGCTCGCAAATGCCTCACAGCTGTCCGTCAAATTGTTATTTAAATTTGGCTGTCCCTCAAGGGACGTTAAAGACCTGATTATACTAAATAATTGCGCTGGGCGAGAGCTAACGGATGCAATGGAGGCCGAGAAGTATGACTTCTTAGCAGCCTTCACCGCCATCTCGTAGGTTTTCATAAAAGCCCTATAAGATGTTCTTGAGGCTCCGTCACGGGCACCCCGCCATACTCGCTCTAGCCGTCTGAGGTCCCGCTTCATTTCCAGAGCTCCTCGGTAAACCATGGAGCCCGGTTTCTGCGGGGTCACAGAGGGCGCTTAGGTGCGATCTCATTGATGGCTGCCAGGAGCTGGGTATTCCAGCCCTCAACAAGCTCAGTCAATGAGTTGCCAGGGGGAGCAAG